TAAAGAAGTTTGTACTCGCTTGTTATACTTAGCATGCTTTACCTTCCCAAATTTTGCACATGGAGGATGTAAAGCAAAATAACTTTTTTAGGTTTTATATATGCATTTTGAAATAACAATAAATTATAAATTACTTTATCATTATCACAGAATTCCACCGTAATTTATAAGGCCTACTAATTAAACTGTATTTGGGTCTAAAAGAATATTGTTTTTCCACTTACCTCTTCTTTCCGAGATTTGAGACAAAAGAAATAATTTTGGGAACTTTCCACCTTCAAGAGACTGAGAAGACCATGTGGGGGAAATTCTGAGTTTTTGATTGGTTATAAATCAATGATAGATCAAAGCAGGTGTATGTAAAGAAGTATTTCCAAAAGTGGAAGAAGTGAGCAGGGCCACTGCATTTGATTCATTAAATATCTCAGCAAATAGAAAAGATAGGAGGTTCTTACTTTACATTCTAGTTTGTCAATAAATTGTAATTTGAGTTTTTAATTCATAAGAAAATGTAGACTTAGTACTTGTACATCACAAACATCTAATTTGAACCAAAGCTACATTTAAAATACCATGTGACACACAAAAAATAATAATTATGATTTTTTTTAATACTTACTTTTAAATTAAGAAATTAACTAATGTATAATTCTAAAATTTTAATTATAATCTACAATTGGATTCCAAGCTTATTGACATACATTCATAAAATAGTAGTTCAATAAATTTTGAATGTAAGTCTACAAATATGATGACATACCCTTTGACCCCTAACCATAAGAAGACCCATAACGATAGGGTTAAGTGTATTTTGTTTTTACTATTTTGCTTGGGAATTGTTTTAGATATATCAACTAAGACTGATAAAAAGTTGTGGTATGTATACTTTCAAGGTTACATGGTGGTTGCAAAGTTGGTCAAAATAATTGAGCTTTCATAGAGAGAGGTTATCTACAGAAATCTTACTGAATGACAGCTTGCTTTGTGGGATTGTTAGTTAGATGTAGTTCAAAGAGCAATACAATTATATAAAAACAGATGTAAACTATTGTGAGACTTTATGCTCTTTAGGATAAATAATTATAATTTTCTGTTACAATCTGTAATCATTCTAGAAAGAAAAAAGTGTAATTTAGATTTATTTTGTATTTTTTAATCTTAAATGAAACTTATCTTCACTTAGACTAGTCAGAGTTTTTTTTTTGTCATTAGCTAATGTCATATGTTCACATGTAAAAATACTTGATAAAACAAAATCTGAATTTTGCATACAAAAGACTTGTAATATTTACCAAAAGACTACCAAATTTTATGCAGATACATGTACTACATCAAAAGTAGTAAGTATCCTTTCATGATTACATGGTGATTGTAAGGTTGGTCAAAATAACTGAACCAGCATAGAGGGAGGTTATATACAGAAGCATCACTGATATTAAAGTTTTGCAAGTTCTCTGTGAAAGTCTGTATAAGGCTTATTGGTTAGAGTATATTATATACAGAAAGATTAAACTTGAAGCTGTTAAAACTTAAAGGAACTGTATTAGAAAGTTCATAGACTTGCATGATCACTAAAATACTGTGTTATGCTTTTAGTTTTGGATCTTGGTTTGAATAATAGAAAACAATGCTATATCACCAGTAGAGAAGTTTAAAAGCAGTGCCTGAATAAAACATTAGTGCAAGTAAAAGTTGTTACTTTCACTTAAATGTTATTTGTTTTAACGATTTTGCTTGGGAATTGTTTCAGATATATCAACTAAAACTGGAATCAGTCCAGCAGACATAATTTCAATACTTCAACATTTTGAAATGCTTAAGTATGAAAATGACAGGTAAGCTTTCAGTTGTTATGATTTCTCTTTCAAACTATTACATAGTAATTATGCTACTTAAAGCAATAACTTTATAAGTTAATAACCTAAAAAATGCAAGACATTTTTCATTAGTGATTGTGAGTAGTCACAATTACTTTAAAATGATCAGTATGCAAGGTGAGATGAAACTAAACAGTAATGAAACATTTACTATGTATTTTTGTCTATATAGATATTGAATGTAAATAAGATGCTAGTTTCAAGATCTAATTCAAACCTTTCAAATCAAGATAAGGTACAGAATGTAGTATTTGTAGTCTCTTTAAGAAGATGTATATTGTCTTTTAGGTTTCTCAGTTTTTGTTCATGAAGGGTTAACGTTCATTTTTGTTTTATAATTCGTATTCAACAATATTTGATTTAAAGTACAGTTTAGGTATTTTAGATTTAAAAAATTATTGTTTTGGGTACTAGAAATTTTGCATCCAAATACTGAATTGTAATGCATATTGTTTTGTAACTTCAAAGTATAGAGGAACATTTTATATTGTGAATGTTTGCTTGTGTTACTAGGGTGGCTATTATACTGGAAAACTCTAGCAATTTATTAGCATGTTTCAGAACATAACCTTGACAAGTTACTTTATTTGGTAATAGTTATCTTATTCAATTTATTTGTTATAGGTTAAATCAAATATTATTTTACAAATAAAAATGAAACATTCTGTTGTTTTCCAAAAAGTTCTAATGTCTTTTTTATATTTTTTGTAGTATCATACTATTGAAGTTTTTATTGCTATTTATAACCAGATTACAAGTTAGTCCCAGGCAACTCTTTTTATTTTTTTAAGTGCCTGAAATTGATCATTTTTATACTAAAATGTTGCCTTGGTTTTTTTAGTTACTTGATTAAGTTGTAGCTCATAAAATTAACAGTTTTGACCTAACCTTATCTGACTAGTATAAAGGTTCAAGGATTAGTTTTAGCATTCCAGAACTGTTAGACTTTGCAGTTGTCTACCTTTGAATCTAGACAAACAGAGATTTCTTAGCATTTACATTGGATATTACTTTTATCATTTATTTTTAACAATGTTTTAGTCCTGATGTGCTCATTCTTTTAGTCTGTTTGTTTTCATACCAAATACTGCTCTTAGTTTTGATTTCTTCTCTTTATTTTTTTTATCTGTATTTGTCTAATATCGTGGTAGCTCTTCTTGTAAATGTTCTAACCTTAAAAACGTGTTTATTGTGAAATAAATTGTAATAAAATGATTTGGTGGTGTCTTAGTTATTTGAAGGAGGAAATCAAAGCTTTCTTAAAAAACGTTAAGAAATTAATTTTCCAGACAGTAAATACATTAAAGTCTAAAGGTCCAATAGGTTGATGTTAACATCATATAGTGAGTTGCATTGAGTCAGAAAGTTTTATTACATCACCTACAGTAAATAATTCTAAAGATTAGTATTTATCAGTATAAAAGTGAGTAAATCATGAAGAGAGGCAGTCAGAAAAAATGTAATACCAGTAGTTTGATCAAAGCCTTTAGTAACTAAGCTCAAGTAAATTTTTTTTTATTAATTACAAAATCATTTTATTTCTTGTATGAAACTATGTAGCAAGAAGTATTTTTGTAATTATCATGTTTTTCAGGTTGAATATAATCATAAAAAGGACATTTATTGAGGATTACATGAAGAATGTATCGGTCAGTAAAGACAGAAGATTGCGTGTGGATCCCATTTGCTTGAGGTGGACACCTGTAATTTCCAATTCATTGTTCAATCATGAAAATAGTGAGGCTGAAAAAGTAAGGAAATTTTGCTAGGTTATTCCTTATGTACACAGTAATTGGCAAAATAAATTGTCTACATATATTATCCTAAAATATATGTTACTTTAATGATATTAAGGCTCAAAGTAAAATATTTGTGTAATCTTGAATTAATTTGGTTAAAGTTACTTTTGTACTGTAAGAAAAGTGAAACTTGTATCCTTGTTTCATATCTTGATGTTGTATCTTGTGACACATGCTTCTGGTCTTGGAAAAATTACAACACAGAATTACCCTGAATAGGGCAGTGCAAGATGTTGTCTTATTTTTTCATTTTGCAAATGTTTATTTTCTCTGAACCAGTAGAAAATTTTGTGGAAATTTGAGGATGGGTTATTTGCAATGGTATTGTATGTTCTACTTTTCCAAGCTAGACCAATTTAAATTCTGTAAAACACGAGAATTAAAGTTGAAAGAACAGTGTGTCATAAACCAGTTATACAGATACTCATTTCAACTTTATTGGCCCTATTCTATGCAGTTATCAGTGGTTGAGTGTAATAACTATTAAACACTTTTCCCTTCGAGCAGTACTGTTGTTAGTAGTGTTTTGAATTGGATGGTGTAAAAAGAACAAACTAATTTTTTTTAGTTACATAAATGAAACAAACTAAGTCCTGCAGTACCTGTTCATTTCAAATTGCCAGAGGTCTGAATAACAAAAGAATTAAGTGCATTTTTATGGAATATATAAAAAATTTTTTATTTACTTCATTTAAGAGAAAATAAAATTTTTGAGACTTCTAAAATTATCCAAACATTATTTTTCAGTCATGAAGAAAATTTGATGTTGAAGCATTATTAGCTCTTCTTAGTATTTTCGTAATTTAAGCTTGAGCATTAAGTATATATAAAGCACAAGAATCTGTGTCTTTCTGTTTGTCCATTATCTAAATACTCCTGGGTCGCTGGGTCAATCTCAACCAAACTTTGTGAAATGATAGTTTGGAACAAGGGGCATGTTAATGATTGTTAACCACTCCCTCCAACCTCCTATTATTGCTGTTATTTAGCAATAATTTATTTATTATCTTTGATGTAAATTTACATTACCTAAATTCATAGATGGCACCATGTCCTTACACAAAAACAGTTTATTAAATTTTCTGTCACAACATGTGTAAAGTGGGGGGGGGGGGCACACAAATGTCTAATATATCTCAGAGAGTGCACTAGTACTCTCTGTGGAGGAACGTAATGTATACTAATATTGTGCTGAGAACCCTGTGTAGAAATAGTTCTGTTTGCAAAATCTTATTTCAGTCGTTTTTATGTGCCAAAATTACACTGTAATTAGAATATTGATTCTGGCCTCTTATTTTATTTTATTTTTCTATCAAAAACACCAAACAATTTGCTTAAAAGAATGGTCACACATTGTTGCTGTTTACTTAAAATAAAGTATTGATCTTTGTTAAATTACATGGTTGATAAATTCACCCTTGTAGACAGTGCCAGTGCACTTTAAAATTTTAGTGTGAAATTAATGTGGTACAATGAGATGTGGATACAGTGGAAAATATTTGCATTGTGATGAAAAAAAGTATTTTAATCTCATTTTCATGTATTTTTTATACAAGTACTGTGTACAAATAATTTTAAAAATTTTGGACACATTTTTTAAAATAACTTCAAAATCAACTTTTAATTATTAAAAAATATTGCATACTGTGCTTCATGTTGTGATTTCCAGCAAGATCCTTGATAAGTTTTGTTGCCTGTTACATAATTTTGAATTGTTTTAGCAGATGGATGAGGAACTCAATTCTAAGCAAGAACTTCTTCATAATTCTACAAGTGAGCCACTAGAAACTAATCAACCATTAATAATAGACACTAGAGAAACAGACCAAAGCAGAAATAAACCACACACAATAATAGGTGAGAAGACTGTAGATATAGATAAGCCTACAAGTAAAATTCAGGAGGACACCAAAACAAACAAGAATAAAACTCAAGAAGACTCAAAGGCAAGTAAAAATAAAATTCAACAAGATACAAAAACAAGTAAAGTTCTTGAAGCTACAAAGAATGATGATGAAGCTCAGGAAGACACAAATACACTTAAAAACAAAGTTCAAGAAGACACAAAGATGGTTAAAAGCAAAGTTCAAGAAGACACAAAGATGGTTAAAAGCAAAGTTCAAGAAGACACAAAGATGGTTAAAAGCAAAGTTCAAGAAGACACAAAGATGGTTAAAAGCAAAGTTCAAGATGACTCAAAGATGGTTAAAAGCAAGGTTCAAGATAGTACAAAAATAGAGAAAAGCAAAGCTCAAGAAGACACAAAAACAAAAAAGAAGGTTGAAGATAATGCAAAGGCTGAAAAAAGCAAAGGAGATGAACAATCCAAAAGCAGTTCACATTCATCAAAGAAAAAAGACAAATCAAAGAAAAAATATCTTTTGAAACTAAAAAGGAAGAGGAAGCGCGAGCATGCTTCAGACAAACACAAAAGCTCCTTCAGTTCAAGTTATGAATTAGAGGACATAGAACCAAAGAAAAAAAAACAGAAAAAAGATCACAATACCAGCTCAAAAAATAATGCATCAAATGTTGAAAATTCTCACAAGGAACATGGAACATCTGAAAAACAAACTAGCCAAAAGGAAGGAAAGTCAAAAAAGAAGAAGAACAAGAAGAAGAAGTTGGCAGCTTTGAAAGGGGAATTAAAGCTTGCAGATGGTGAGTTTTATCCTTTAAAATAGCTTTGTTTGTGTAATCAGAAAGTAACTTATCCATTGAACATTAAAAAGTTTTGATTTGACTTTAGGAAATCAATGATCATGCATATTTTTATGTAGCATATACAACTGGTGTTTTTTTTTCTAAAATCTCTACTCATTGATACCCAGTGTTAAAATAGGTCATTTCTAGTTTGCATTTCAACATTCATAATGTAATTTAAAAATCTAATGCTAATCTGTTTCAATAATTTTCTACCAGATTTTATTGAAGAAATGATATTAAAACATAAAATGGTTATCTAATTGACTTTATAAGTAAAGTTTCAACAAAGGCTGAACGTTTGTTTTTGTAGTGTCTTATTAAACTAGATAATATTTTCTCTCATTCCTTTTTTATTTATTTTTAATATGTGGTATTTCATGTTCTTGTGTTGATGTCCACCAATAAACTATATCTTGAGCGTATAGAGGCAATATAAACTTGTGCTATAGTGTTACATCAAAAACAAAATGATATTATAATATATGTTCTTATATCCTGGGATAACACTAATAAGCAATTAACCAACTTCAAGCATTAAGTAGAGCAGTTGTATTGCTACTGCAGGTGGAATTCTTAAGTCTTGATAAAACATAGGTATTATGTGATTCAAATGTTATTGTAAAAAATGTGTAATTTAAAATAATAAATCATATGTACCTTGCTGGACACACATGTAATGTGTATTTGTACAGCATGCTTTTGACATATTAAGTAGTCAAGCTTATTGTTGAAAAAATAAACTTTACTACTTAGTATGTCAAAAACACACTGTACAAATGCATGTTATAGTTTCAAATAGAATTTATTATTTAAACCATTTGAAGCTTTGTACTGTCAATTTTGGTTTGTGTTTTAACGATTGCTCCTGAAGAATCTGTAAAGGAAAACGTTGATTGCCTAATTAAATAAAAACAACATTTTGTAGTTATAAGGTCATTTATTTCTAGTATTAATGTCTTCTATAGACCAATATGCACTACAGAAATTAAATAATGAATTTCTGATTATCTTGTTTTCAATATATTTTTTAGCACTGAGATGAGAATGTGCACTAAAAAGTTGTTCTTGTATTATATCAGCATTAAAGTCAGACCAGTAGTTTGAACAGTTTGAGTTTTTGTATATACAGTTACATTAGTACACCATTATATCCCATAGTAGGAATTTTAGTAATTTTTTATTTAGCAGTGACTGAAATCGTGTGATGACATTAAGCTAATCTTGCTCTCTATTGTAGTATTGCATTGTTGAAGTGAATCTGTGTATGCTTCCAACTGTGCCAGTAACTGCTAAATACTAAAATGTTTCAATAGTTATTTATAAAGAAATTTTAAATAATAATTATATATATTGTTTTGTGTAATCTTAATGAAAGTTAAACTTTTCATAAAATAAAAACTATTTTAACAAAACTAGCACAGATGCAAGCATTTCTGATTTCTCAAACAGTATAATTTACTTCATACAGAAAATGTTATAGATATTTTTTATTTGTTTTGTTTTCCTTAAACACGCTTGTCTAGAAAAACCTGTGCAGTACTAAACTAGGAAATAACGTACTATTTGGTATTGTCGATAAATATTGATACTGTCCTAGTATAAATTGAACTATTATTTTATTGTTAAACTCGCATAAATATACCTCCCACAGAGAGTCTTGGCATAAGGTAACAGTATCTCAGCTTTGAAAATAGATTCATCTTCTGACTAAAATCATTGTAAAAGATAGAAGCCAAGCTTTAAAACTATGTATACAACTTATCAGTCATTCCTTATGGCATTTTTCTACCTCTAATACCCTTGAAGGTTGAACACAGTATGTTTAGATAGTTATCAACTAATTTGAAGTGTGGGAATGTTTTATGGTTTCTGGTGATGGTTTTCTTGTTGGTGAGTTTGTGTAATCTTGTTTCAATTTCAAAGCTACAGAAATATTTTTCTTGTAACCTTTTTTTTCCTTTCTTTTTTTTTTTTACACACATCTTCAATTATTTTCCTTGCTTATTCAAGCAGCTACAATAAGACCATACACCACAGTGTTGTTGCCAAAATGAAACTTGATGTGGTCAAATTAAAAATGATTTAATTGAACCCTACTGATCTTGTTCCACAAAAAAGACATTTCAATCATACTTCAATATCAGAATTCAAATGAAGTATAAAATGATAAAGTATGCATTAATAAATACAGGACTGTAATAGTAGTGGAATTTATTCACAAACACCTTTTCTTCTAGTAACATATCATCAAACTAAGCTTTTATCTCTAAGTAAACCTTTGCTGAAGTGGAAGCCTTATCAGCTTTTATAGTTTTCAAGAACAGTAAAAAAGAAGAGATTTCTTTATGTCTAGATCAGTAGCCTATGACTTGTTGAAGCTGAAATATAGGCAATTACTTGGTATCATGACATCCATGGTTTAGAAATGATTATTGGCTAAAACTCAATAAAACACTGATTTGTATTAACATTAGAAAGAAAATTAACATTGTTTTGCTCAAACCTGTATGGGGAAAATACTGATGTAAAAGATATCATTTTAAGGTCTGAACTTGTAAGAGAAAAGTTGGGAAACCTAAAAACTGATAAATCCCCTGGACTAGACAACTTTTATCCTAGAGTTTTAAAGGAACTTAAAGATTTTATTTGTGAACTGCTAGCTAGTATTTTTTACAGGTCATTGAGTAGTGGAAGAGTATTAGAAGATTGGAAATTGGCTGATGTTAGTCCAATGTTTAAAGGAAGTGATAAACATTGTCCATGCAGTTTTAGGCCAGTTAGTCTTACATTAGTAGTTAGAAAGGTTTTGTAGAGTGTGATTAAAGATGCATTGGAGAGTCGCTTAACCCTTTCAAGATGGGTCATGGGTGAAAGGCCATGTCATCTTGTTTGTTGACTCACATTCAAAATTTTATTGAAATACTATTTCATGAATTTATGTCAATAAGTGTAGTATCAAACTAGATTATAATTCAGATTTTTAGTACTTATATATTACTCAATTTTTTAATTTAAAAACAGAGATAAACATCTATTTTTTTGAGTCATGTGGCATGTTGAATGCAGCACTGGTTCAAATTAGATGTTGGTGTAGTCAAAATACTAAGTCTATAGTTTTTTATGAATTAGAAACTCAAATTACCGATATTGACAAGCTAGAATATAAAATAAGAGCTTCTTATCTTTTGTATTTGCTAAGATATTGCTCATGTAATAAATCAAACACAGTGGCACTCCGCCCTCCTCTTTCCATTTTTTGAATTGCTCCCTTATATACACTAACTTCGATATATGACATGAATTGGTTATTGGAAGCTCAGAATGTCTCCCTAGTGGTTTTCTCAGCCATTTTAACAGGCTTGACACCATTTCTTTCTTTTCAACCAAGATTTCAATGAAGTAGGTTGTGTCTTTAATATGCTCAAAATGTCATATTTTTTTTGACTAAAATACATCTTAGTTACTAAGCTTGATAAATTATAGTGGAATGCTATGGTAATGATGTAGTAATTTATGATTTTTTAGTTATTCAAATGTATATATAAAATCTAACAAAAATACTATATTTCATATCCTCTACGTTCAAATTTTTAAAAGCTTAGCAACTTATGTCAAGCAACAACCAAGTACAAAGGTTGTAACTAGAAGAGATAATTGTTTGCTTTACTTCTTTAGTTACGGTTCTGTGTTTTAAGAATTTTTGTTTTCATTTTTATGTACACAGTTAAATAGATATAACCTTTTTGAATAAATTTCAACTCTGAAGCTTTTTTTTTTAATGCATGAAAAAAAAGGCACAAGTTTATTTTCTTCAAAAAAGAAAAAACTCGTATGTGCAGTTTTGCTCTCTAGGTGGACTGCACCTATGTGGGCATGATAAAGTTAAAATATATATCATAGCAACTAAGAGTGATTTAAAAGTTTTTTAATCTCATGTAATAAATGTAATTTATGTTGCATTTTTTACATTATATGACATTTTTGTTTCTAGGTGAACATGAGAAATCCAGTCAGAAGTCTCACAAGACTGAAAAATCTAGCAAAAAAACAAAGCATCATTCAGAGAAGTCAAAGAGTGGAGGCTCCCCACAGAAGAAACAGAAGTCAAAGAAATCAGGAAGGTCATCGGACAAAAAGAGTAGCAGTAAACGCAAGAAACGAAAGAAACTGAAGAATGCCATGGCCTCTACCTGTAGCACATCACATGGTACAGAAGAAACCCCTGAGTCAGAGACTGGTCTTATGCCACCTGTTCTTGTGCCGGCTATTCCTGCTTTTAGTGCAACTTTAGTCCAAGGTCATCAGAGTCCATTTTATGAGTTAGAATCATCACCCCCAGTACTGCAGGCATCAGTAACAGAACAAGCTGAAAAGCCATTGTCTGAGGAAATAACTTATGTGAACAAAGATATATTGACTATTGAAGAAAAATCAATCACTTCAATAAATCCAATATCAAGTATAAAATTAAAGGTAAGTTTTCTTCTCTTTCTTCAATCAGATTTTATCCGGTTTCCTTAAAATATTAATTTATTTCCCCATTGCTTTTTTTACCAACTAATTTAAGTTATATTTATAATAAATAATCTGTAGTATCTATATTCTAGCAACAGAGAAGTAATTTTTTCAACCAAATTTAAATTTTATCACTTAAAACATTATATTTTAAGTAGTAATTACCAATGTTTGCTAGATATAAATTATGATTGGTTAACTGTGAACAACTGTCTCTTCAAATAAATAATTGTAATGCAGCAAAACATACAATTTTTATTTTATTCTTTTTTTTTTTTTTTTATAAGACCTCAGTTGAGATTCATATGCTTAATGTGGTATCAGTATATTATAAAAGTTAATAGTTTCATATATACAGTTCTCTTTGGGGTTTTTTTCTAACCTGATAAATTAGCAATTTTCACCAAAATTCTCTATGATCTAAAAATTATGTTAAGGTACATGGCTGAAGAGAGTTGTTAAAAGTAATTATTCTCTCTCTGAAAAACAAATCTATCAGAATTTAAAGAGCTATTGTTTAAAAATTATGCTCTTTGGTACTGTCTCACGGTAGCTTCCTTGTAATACTAGCACTTGGAGTTTGATCCCGGCATCAGACATAGTGCAGATAGCTCATTGTATAGCTTTGTGCTAAACCAAGTAAACTTTTTGTGGTTTTTATTTTACTAATTTTTTAATATTTGTATATTAATTGGTAAAGCAAGCTTTTTAGTTTCTTCAATAACTGTATTTGATGAAATATATATTGTAAATATGCTTAAACCATGTTTTGTAAATAATTTGCATTTTAATATTTCAGTAGATGGCGACTCAGTCAAGAATTGTCATTACATAAAATTTACTTTTATTTTATCTTAAATCAGTAATGTATTGACAAGACAGCAGAATAAATGTGTATGTGTTTACTCTTAAATCATAATTATGTATGTATATGATTCTAGCTTTTTTTCTACTATTGAATTAGCCTGTCAGATAATTTTTTGAAGTTACACTAATTATAAATCTTAATTCCAAATTGTGATTTGAATGCATATAGTTAGATGTGTTTGTGTCTTGAAACCCTTATCCAGTAATTTATTAAATCTTCTCATTTTTTGTTTGTGCTTTAAAATCAGTTTTAGGTTTTTTTTATTTACAGATTGTTTTTTCTCTAAACACTGCAACATTATTCACACTATAAAGTAAATTTCTGTTGTTTGGTTGCTGCTAGTTATCCATCTGTTATTGTCATAGTTTATTTATGAAAGATTTTTATTTCAAATATATTCTTTTCTGTATGTAGAAATAATTGCAGCATATTTTAACTTGTTTTTCCATCAGCTATACTTGAAGCTAGTAAGCCAAGATAAGAACAGTTTTTATTGAAATGGATCTGTCAAAGTTACATATATTGCTACTTTAAGTATTTGACAAAAAAAACACCCTAGCATGAACTTGTAGCTTTGATCATTATTATTGTAAGTGAATTCCCATGTATTATGTGACGTATGCTATAAGCGCATCTTTTCTTTTATGTTAAGGGTTAGTAATTCTTTCCATGCAGTATTGCATGAGACATTACCTGTCAATGTCTAATGTGTGTAGTTGAAATTAGAAGGAAAATGTCATTGTATTCATTATTAAAGACTTGCAAAGTTGCAACTGAGCACATACAAATGTACGGTTCAAAAGTTCAAGTTCAAGACGTGATATTTCTTCACTTAATTTAGAAAATGGTGCAACTCCCACTTTCTTAATTTCTTCAGCATAAAAAAAGGTATAAACAGAAAATATTAGGTAGGACTCGTGAATTCCACTCCATTAACTAATAAACATATTTATTCATCACAAAATATGTTATGTTTATGTTTTTATATAGTTTTTTATTTTACCTAGAAAATGACTGCTTATTATTTTAAATTACTTATTAACAGGAACAAGATGAAGAACATGCAGCAGTGGAATGGAACAAAGATCATGTTGAACCAGAAGAAGTTCAAGAATCAGCTAATGATCAATTTCTTTTGACACCTTTCTCTAGTGACAGAGAAAATAATGAGTCATATGAAATAACCTCAATTACAATACCCCAGACACACATAGAGGAAATTAGCAAAGGTGTTGTAGAACAGACTGAGCATTTAGATGATAAAGACCAGTTAAATGAAGAAACTGAACAAAGTGTTTTCAACCTACTGAAAAGAGATCAAGAACAATCACATCACTGGTGTACTGATCATGAAGATTATGAATCACCTCATATGACATCTGAACAAGAAAATACACTAACCTCTTTGAATATTCCACATGATACTTGTGATAGTATGATGGAAGAAGATTGTGTAGAGCTTGAAGGAGTAGATAAATGTGAAGAAGATGACATCTTACCTGAAGAGTTTGATGACCATGTATCTTGCTCTATGTCTAGTGAATTGGCAATTAATGAGGAAGAAATGTCAAGTCCAACAGTTGTTGTGTCTGAAGCCACAGACTCTCTAGCAGAGCAGTTGGAGGTAACCACGTCTGCTCAGCTTCCACTTACACCAATTACTCCACAGACTCCTGGATCTAATCCTCCATCTATGATTACTAATAGCCAAACAGTTTGTAATTTAGATGAAAATCTCCATGAGCAGCATCAAGAAACGGTTATATCCTCAGGTGTTGTAAACTCTGTGGGTCAGACCCAAGAAACACTTGTGCTGACTAACTCTAATAATAATGTCACTAGTCAGCCAAGTGATACATCCAAATTTCAGGAACATTTAGCTGAGGAATTTCATAACAACCTTGAATGTTTACAGACCACTTCTCCTGAAACAGATCTTCATACAGGTGATTTTACTCATAGAATGGATGTTGTTGTTGTTGAAGCCAATCACACATCTCAGCCACCATCCTCTACCCCATCCACTCCCAGTGGATTTGTTGGAAAACACAACTCCACTCCAACACCACAAGACCTGGCTAACATGGGAGTTTACACTCCAGACTCTTCAACTAACAGTGTTATTTCAAATGGTGGTTTTAATTCTGTGGAAATTGATGTGACACAGCTAGGTCTAGAGTCTCCAACTTCCATCAGCAGTAGTGAGATGGCTCAAAACTCTGTTGAGCCTCCACAGCCAGCACCAACTCCACAGCCTTATCCTGACTGTGCACAGTTACAGAACTACTGCAATGCTGCTCAGCCTCCACATAGTACTCCTCCACATGGAGCAATGGTAGCAGCTGCAGCTGCTATTGCTCAGGCACAACGACAAGCTCATCTCCAGGCTCACAGTTGTTCGTCTAGTGGCCTGAAAAATTGTAATAAAAGAGTGGCTATTCCCTCACAGCATTCTTCCACAGCTGCATCACATGGACATACAGCCTCCTCTCCTGTATCGAGCTTAGTACAGAATAGTATGATTAGTGCCAACTCCCCATCAATGAATACTTTACTAGTAGGTCAGTCCTCCATGTGTTCCTCTACCAACTACATGAACACTGTGAACATGGCAGGAAACCCAGCTGGATCATACATGGTAGGTGTTCCAGTTGCCACCATGATCCAGCACCAGACTCCAGCCCTAGCAGTTGCTGCCCACTCACAACAACTTCAGCCACAGAGCCACCATAACATAAATATGACAAATCAAGCATCTGCCACATTATCTGGAACTATGCAGCGCCTTACTCATGTCAGTGTTGGTCTTCCCCCATCTGCAGTTTCTGCCTGTGCTGTATCCTCCACTGTTCCAGCTGGATTTCACATTCAGCCCCCTAATTACTCCTGTATTTCCACTCCTAACCCAACACCAACTCCTAATCCTCCATCTCAAGGCAATTATAGTTGCAGCCTTGCCAAACTTCAGCAGCTCACAAATGGTATCATGGACATTGGTCCTCCTCATATGTCTCCTTCTTGTAACACCATGACTCCACCACCAAACTTAACTCCTCCTTCACCACAGGTGAATATTACTCCTCCACCTCAGATGCAGCGTGGGATTGCCCCAACACTTGCCAGTCTGCAGCCTCAAGGATCAATACCGTCCAATGCCGGCCACGGCTATGGTCAGTATAGCCACCGATACCATGCACGGCAGATGCAGCGAAGCTCCAATGTTGCAATCAATCACAATCTAGTAGCAGCAGGGTACCAGACTTTAAATGGGGTTAGTTACCGCATGCCACAAGGACCTCCTCCAGGAGCAGCGGCAATGGTTAACACAGCAGGTTATATTACCAATGCAGGATTCATCAACTCTTCACAGTTGCAGACTGCTGCAGTTCCAATGGGTGTTGTAAATTTCAACATGCATCCTCAAGCTCAATACCAAGAGTCCATTCAGCCATCAAGATCCCAAAACACCATGTACACTGCATATGGGTATCTGAATGGAGGTTTGCCTCCTCAGGCTTTGAACCCAGTTATGAGACGATAGCCATGAGATGGTCAGAAATCTTCTTATTCTTCCTGTTACAAGCCAGATACTATCAAGTGTTTTTAAAAAACTAATAAATATACAAAAAAGGAGCATTAAACTTCTGTACAGAAATAGAGCTCCTTAATAATAATAATATAAAAAAAAAAGCTGAACTTGTGATGCCAGACTGTACATTTTAGAGGTGAACTATTTTCTCTTAACTCAAATTTTTTGAATGTTTTATGAGTGATAGAATCATATGTGGGTTGTCTTTCTGGCCACATGCACAATTTCAATGTTAATGGTGCTGGCCTAAATGGAACCTTGCAACATACCAGTATGTGTAACATTGCTTATAGAGATTTCCGTTCCCATTGTTGTATGCCCATTGTGTACATAATGCTGTTAGAGACATTAGATTTGGACTTTGACTGATGCTCTTTTCTTGTTTCCCAATGATGTAAGTAAATGTGTAAATATTATATATATAAATAAATAAATATATATATATATATAAATATATAAATATAGCTATAAATTCACCATTGGGATTTATGGGTGGGGAGGGTACTCAGTTTATTTTGAATGTGATAGTGATATAACTTCTACTTTTAAGTTTGTATATAGATTGTTGAATAATTCATACAAAACATAAAATCATTACTGGAAAATCAAGCAAGGAAGAACAAGCCATTCAAAAGCTTAAAATGGCCAGTTTGGTTGCAAGGTGTTTTTCATTAATGAAAATACACATATTTAATAGCTTAAAGTGAAGTTTGAATTACGGTTTTATGCAATGTATTTGAGTGTTGTGAAATGTATAATCATGCACAAAAAGAAAATGACATGGATAGAAATTTCTTGGTGTACTGAATGACTATGTATGTATATCCTACCTATTAGAAAACACCTTTTTTTACATTCACTTTTGTCCATAAACTTAACATAATCATCAATTTATTTGAGAATTAGAGGTTTGTCAGTTGATGCGAAAGACAGCCTCACTTCATGAAAACTTGTGATATTATTCATAACTGTTATATCATCATTTCTTAACAGATAAAAACATTTTGACAATAATTACAATAGTATTAAGAAAAGAGCTTGGTCCAAGACCAATTCAGCCAACTGATGTTAGAGATTTTTAATCTGCAAGTTGCATGTTAACAGGTGACTGTTTTAATTGTAATTATATTCAGTACTATTATTGCTGCTTCTAATACTATAGCTGCATGGTATTATAACATAGGAACCCGAGACACTATTTCTAGAAGTGTATGTTATTAGTCTTTAGTAGAACAGTTCTTGATGATTATCTGTTTTGTGGAAGGAAAGCTATAGAATATATTTTTGAGTAACAGTTTTTTTGTGCCTTGATGCAGTTGTTGATTACTTCATAGTGGCACACCGCCTATTACTTGCATTGTTCACCCTGATTGCTGTATATAGTGCTATGCCAGAGAAATAAATGTTACCCTTTGCACCAGCAACTGGAACTTTTTCGTGTGTTTTTGTTTTACTTTCTTTTGAACTGTGTTAAGAACACGTAAAATAAATTCTTAGCTGTTATTAATTGTAAACAATACTTGTTCTTACCAAAAAACAGTTCAATCACATTTTTGTAAGAAAGTTCATTCTCTACCTTTTTATCAACGTTAAGAAAAGTTATATTTAAGCAATACCCCCTTACCAACATAAAATCTAACACTTACAGCATGAAGTACAGAATGTTTACAAATATACTTCAAATAATTACAACAATAAACAAAAGCAAAGTTAATATTTGGTTTTTACGCAACTATCAACCAGCAGTTGAACAGACGAACGAGGGACTTGAAAGGGCGAATTCCAAACGTTTCTGACATAGAATTATATACAATTTGAAAAGAAAAAATGCTGTTCCTGTAATTAAGACGGGTTATTTTTTATATTTTGACAACTACTATTAGAAAATTAAGCAACTAATAATTCACTTTATTTCGAAAGGTCAAGTACTAGAAACAGCTGATTGTGCATACAGAAAAACCACAACTTTGTTAGGGACGCGGTAATTATTTCGGAGGGAGGGGAGGAGGTCGAAAATTGACAGTCTCGCAGAAAAGCAATCCTTCTATGAAAATGAGAACAATTAAAGAATTTATACTGAAACTTGTTTGTAAAAATATATTTAATAGCAATTATTCTGTTTATATGGATGTTTTTGATACTTATAACATTATACACACAAATGTCTTAAGCGTTTGTTCTTGATACTTATAACATTATACACACAAATGTCTTAAGCGTTTGTTCTTGATACAATATAAGGAATTATCCAGCAGGACAGTGGAGTTTTAAAAAAATACATTTATAGACCTATTGTCAAAGAATATTACCATAATAATGGCCACACATTCACAATATTGATTAACCATATCTTTCAAACTATGTCCAGTGTGCAAACTGTAGTGTATATAACCACGACTCCCAGAACTACACATTTCTCCGACTTCATTTTTTTTTTACACATGAAACAATATTAAAACAAAATGTTGCATACGGTAATTATTATTAGTTCTATAAATTATTTAATCAATGGAATGGAAGAAACAATTTGTAATTACAACAGATAATACAGAAACAACTCAAACATCTGTTTGCCCTTAAAAAATGCAAGAAATGATAAATACCACCATAAAATGAACCCATGGGCAATTAACGGTATATTAACCTTCGTATGGGCTAGGGGTAGGCTATACTGAAAATGGTTGCATATTGGAATGGAAATGGGAAACAAGTATCGTCAATTATGTATAACACCTATAGAAATATCTGAAGCAAAAGTACCACAAGCTACAAAATTATCCTACTGGAAAAAAAGGACAATGTAAGAGGTCACATAAAGATGTGGTAAAATATTAATTTCGTTCTAAATTAAACTAATAATAAAAAATACTTCCCAAGTTCATTTTGCGATGGCGCATAGACGTATATGCAAATATATATAACCATTGCAAATAGATTCATAAATATGTTATATGATTAATTTTGTTTGCTTTATGCATATATCTATGAATAAACTAACGTATAACCACTCCTCAGTAGGAGCTTTGAAATATCCGATTCCTTGTGTTACGAGTTAAACTGAAAGAGTCGGATATCACAAAAAATACTGCCATTTTATAGCGATTGTACTAGGTAATGTTTGAGTATTTATAATCTGGAAAGTGATATTGTACTTCCATTTTATGTCCCCCCACCCTGGTTGCTCAATGGTATGTCAGAGAGCTTATAACGATAGAAACTTGGTCCTGGTACCCGCGTTTAGCACAGCACAGATGTCCCATTAAGTAGCTTTGTGCTTAATAACAAATTGTAGTTTCTGGAACATTTTTTACCGTACACAGAAAACCATTGATTTCTTCCATTAGAAATATCTCCCTGATAGAAAATATCCACTCCCTGACGCAGCCTTAAGGGCTACTTTATAATTTAACTACAAATTATAATGGTAACTTAATGAATTCAGATTTCTATATTAAGGTAGTGTCATTGATATATCGAAACCGAAGCAGGCCAACGATATTTAACATGTAACCTTCCTTAAAAATATTTTCTGTTACCAAGCGTAACTTTATTATCTCAGAATCGCTGATAAACTTACCAGAAACCATTAAAATAAACTTCAGTTCTCTCTTATCGTAAAAATTAATTAAAACCGTGTTATTCTCAGGTACTAATTTCAATCGGGTAGGGTCTGCAGGATAACTGGATGTTCGACAAAAAATGTTATATAGAGTTAATCTGTATTCTCCAGCTTTGACTAAGTTTTGAAGAATGAAAGAGATTGGACACGATGCATAGCAATATGAAACAATAAAGATGGAAATCGTAACAAACGACAGTGTCTTTACTGGAGTTTTCAGAGATTTCTGTGAAGAAGAATCTGCCCCAGACTAAGAAAAACATAACGTAATATATTCACGGCACAATAATACTGTTCTCTCCTAGGTGCGCATGCAAACAATGTGACTGTTGGTCATTCTTGTTGAAAAATAAGGGAAGTTGTTACCTCAATGTATCACATTACCTGTCAATGGGAATGATTGCTGTCTACTTCTACAATGTATTCAACCTTAGAAATCTTTCCCACACTAGGGCATACGTGATACTGAAGGTGAATGATCCAGACCAACATGTAACTAAAGCAGGGGTAACTTAGCTACTTCCTTGACTATAATTCAATGTTAAATCTACACATGCTTACAGGTATGAAACTTTTAGAAAGTTTATGCGAACTACATTTAAATAAAGGGATAGAAAACACCTGGTATAACTCCATACTATAAAGCTATGGTTACCTCATCAATACTTACTATCAGTAAAACAAAAGCAACCGACTTATGCAAAACAATATTATGTAGTCATATTGCTGTCAACTATGTATTGTTATTTTAATTCAGCTGGTTTGTACTGTTTGCTAGATGTTTTTTTATATTATCATTTTAGCATGACATAGTGAAAATGTGCTACACCTAGAAATGTTGTGAATGTCTAGAATTTTCTAGAGGCTTTGTGAGGAAAATATTGCAAATATAAAAACACCAGTGAATTAGAAAGTTCGTTATTGTGTCTGTTAAAGTGTTGGTGACGATTACTGAGTTACCAAGTGTGTTAGTCAGCCAGTTTTGAGTTTATACCGTAGACACGAGATAATATTTAATTGGAAATTGACTGTTAAGTTTTATTTGTGAGTTATGACTGAGGATCAATGACTTGTAGAGTTTGTGGGTGAATAATAAAATGCTTTCCCTTTATTAAATGGAGTACATTGCATTATTTCACCAAATAATAAAAAAAAGCTGTCCAGCAATACAAACCCTATCTTTCTGTACTTATAATTGCAAACAGTCCTCACTATGGAATGAAAACACTTCTTGCTATGTCAGTGTTAAATCTTCAGTAAATATAAAATTGTGTATATGTCAATTCTTAAAGTACATCAATATTCAGAGTCACACATTGGAAATTATTGAAATTCATAGGTTTAGGCTAGATAAAATATCTGTTTCCAATATTTTGAAAAACCCTTGAATATATATTTAAGTTAACTTGTGAGATAGCGAATTATACTTTTATTCTGTTATGTTTTTTGTTTTTTTACTGTTCATTTATTATTCTTTCTGTCGTTTAGTTCAACTGCGAATTTGTAGTTATATTAAAGAGCTAACCCACCTTTTGGCAAGAGCACGTTGAATTTGAGTATTTTTTGTGTTATAAACTGACACAAGCCCCCTCTAGCGGAGACGTACAAATAGTAATAATGTAAAAGATTATGTAAACTAGCTAGTCATATCAGATATAACCTCTTGATATAATTACAAAATAAAAACCCTGCCTTAAGCTTAAATGAGTTAGTTTAAGAGATATAGGTAAAACGTATTGTTGCGTCATCGAGGTCACGTGACTGGTGTGACGCCACCTATTTTCTAGAACTATCCTGTACCTTGGTGAATGCTCTAGTATTTACTAGATATAGGGTAGCTGGTATATAAAAGAGGGTGACAACTTGACGGAATAATAATGTGTGTGTAGACAGTGAGTAATTGATCTGCAGTCAGAAGTATTATTGAGCACGTTCGTTGTTATAGCGTTTGTTTAGCGCGATTGTTGAAGTTGAGTGTATCGGAAAAGTTATATTCGGAAAGAATAAACCAGTTTTTATTAAGAAAGGACTTGTGTCGCTTAAGTTTCGTCGGAACGAAGTTACGGGAAATCAGTTAACAAACGGAGACGTAACAATATGAAATGGAATTTCATTTTCAAAAACATACACAAAGTTTTCACCTTCCCCTACAAATAAACAAATGTTTACTATCATTACAAGTATAAACTATCAAATCGTACCGAGCGAAGATTCAAACGGCCCGGCATGGTCAGGTGGTTAGGGCGCTCGACTCGCAATCTGCTTCGAATCCTCGTCACACCAAAC